GAGAGGAACCAATCAAAACACTTGTTGCTGGGGTTTTAATATGTGGATAATAGTAAAAACAACACAGACTTGTTTTGTCTTTCTAGCTCTGCTTAAAAGCAGTTTCTACCTGCTACACTCTGTGGACACGCCATGATGAATAATAAATTTGTCACGTACCTCAAGACTTTATTTGAAACACCTTAAGAAGTTTAATAAATCCAATAAAACTCTATCATTTGTCCACAGACAGAACAACATACATACACGACTGAAAACATTACCTCGCCCTTGGCGGAGGTAAAAACACTTATAGTACATCATTTGTGAGTATATCACACGTGGTGGTCCACTCTGGTCTGGTCAGCTCATTGGAAGCTCGACTGCACTGCTTTGGCTTTGATCAATATTAAGTATTTCATCTGTGGATTGAGATGTAGAAGTTAAAATGATGACACAAGTATGTGTTATAGTAACACCTTAACCACGTTTTTTAAAAAAAATCTAATTACTGAAAGGTTATCACTAATGCAAACAAATACAGCTATGACATTTCAGGAGTGTGTGGATTGTGATTGGTACCAACAACAAACCTTGAAATCTGCTTTGTAGATTGCATACACTGGGGCCTTCTCCTACATCCCTGTTGCAACTTGAATGGACAGGTTGATCTTCTGCCAGTAAAGAAAGAAAAGTTAGAAATTGTCAGGATATAAATCTTAACCTACCGTATTTATTCAAGTATAATACGTAAAATTAAATCCATAAAATCATCCATAAAGTTGGGGGGTAGTACTATCCATCCATCCATCCATTTTCTGTACACGCGTCTTCCTTTTCAGGGTTGCGTGGGTCTCTGGTGCCCATATCCAGCAGTCACAGTGCGAGGGGCGGGGTACACCCTGGACAGGTCGCAAGTCCATCGCAGGTAGTACTATACTAGGATAAATATTTTATTTATGTATTTTAACTGAAATATCGGCTTCATTCACAAAATTATTGAGTCCGGAAATGAGACCGCGTCATAAAAGCATTGAAATGAGCTTACTAGAGCTGGGTACTGAACTTCGGTTCTGTTATGGTACCCGACCGAAATGCTTCGGTAGAACTGAGTATCAAAATATGCCTCCCCTTTCGGTGCCAAGTTACGGTGATTGGCTGCAAAGTTGCACGTGGTTGCGGCAAGCAGGAAGTGTGGTTACGCTCACAAAAGGGGTTCACGTGTGTTGTAAGCTAAGCTAGTAGTGTGTCGTCGAAGTGAACTGCTCCAAAGAAAATGCCACCAAGGTCAAAAGTGTGGCTTCATTTTATGAAGATTGGTGCCAACAGTGCGCGATGCAATATATGCAAAAAAGACATAATTGCTAAGGCCGGCAACACGACTAATTTAATGAAGCACTTAACTGTGCACAGAATCAATTTAAGAGTAGAAAGTTGCTCCGTGTTTGACTGCAAGAAGAGCGGACCACAGCCATCCTCAAAACAACAAAACAAAACATCAACAAAAGTCTACCACCTACCGTAACCTCAGTGAATCCAGTGACTTGGTGGTGGAATGTGAGGGACACCATGCCAGTACTATCAGACTTGGCAACCAGGTATCTCTGTGTGCAAGCATCATCCACGCCCTCAGAGCATACATTTTCTACTGCTGGAGACACCATCAGCCAGGAGCGGGCTTGTTTTTGTCCAGAGAAACCAGACATGTTGATTTTTCTGAAGAAAAACTGCTAAAGGAAAAGGTTCACAGTATGTAGCAGTGAGCTTTAGACACTGATTTACTTGTTTGCAACTTATTTTGCACTGGAAATGTTAATTTTTTATGTACAATAACTCATTGGAATAAAAACATCAAAGTTAAAAAAATAAAATTCAAGATTTTTACTGTATTGTTAATGTAATTTTCTTCTTGTTAGAGTTGATAAAAATTCTAAAATTGGCACGGTGGCTCAGTTGGTAGAGCTGATGCCTCTCAGCAAGAAGGTCACCGGTTCAAATCCCGGTCTGGGGA